TCAATCGGAAGGTAAACTGATGTGAGTATATGTATGATTAAACAATCACTCGCTCTTAATTGATTGCGGTTATTTGCTTGGTTCATCGATCTCTGTTCACATTCGCACATGCTTATCTAGACATGATAAATGATAAGGCACATGGCGATGTAAAGAGAGGGGAGAGAGTACATGTTTTGGGTGCGAAAATGAATTGGTGTTTATGGAACGTTAATTGAAGTGATTTTTGTTGCGAATATTGAACTGAAAAGTTTCATCAATGATCAAAACGGATGTTTCTTTACCTTCTCTTTGCTCATCTTTGCCGGCATGACAATGATGCAACGATAGCCCTTCACTGCAGCCACCAACGCCAGTCCAATACCCGTATTGCCGGACGTTGGCTCAATAAGGGTCATTCCAGGCTTTAGAAGACCAGTCTTTTCGGCAATATCCACCATACGCTCGGCGATTCGATCCTTAGTTGAACCACCCGCATTCAAATACTCGATCTTTGCATCTAGAATGTTAAAATGCTGTAATAAGTAAGGTAAGATTGAGTTTTGAGTGAATTGAACTGTGGACAAAACAAACGTTGCAAAACCTACAAACGTTGCATTCAATGCCAAGCGATTTGGGTATTTTATTGAGTTTCACCAACGGTATACCTCCAATCGCAGCCAGAATATTGTCAATCGGCTTACCGTCCGGTATCCTAAATAATCAAGTGCTGCCTGCATTGATTTAGACAAGTCTGTGTGTATCAGTTGCAGTGGCACTGACTAACCTGATTTCACGAAACTCGTGTGCTGATCCAGCAACGGCGCCTTTATCACGCCACGAAACATCGTTAGCTGCCTCTTTTGCATACGGCAACACATTATTGGCCACACTTTTATCGACAACCATTATTCTATCTATAACTGATGTGGACTTGCTTCTTCTGTCGGTGTTACAGCAAACGTAATGACGAACAATGTAGTAATAAGGAAGTAAGTAAGTAAGTAACTGCCTAAGTGATACTGTTCTTCGCTTGTATGAAGGAAGACAATTAACGCTCGCAGCAACTAGTAATAGGTAGGAGTATGATCTCTCTGTAGACGACGACGACGACGACAACTGTTCAAATAAGAAATGGACTGGATGGAGGCAGTTAATCTTAACGCTACTGAAGACGAATTGTTTAGCGAACTGTTTAAGATGTCAATGTCCTCTGCTGAACGTTTATATAGGAACGAATTGAACGTGAAACTTATTGTGAGGTTGACTGGCTTCGGCTTAGAATTGCAGATTGAATGAGTGATGCAAGGGTGCAACAAGGAACAACGTTCAGAGCACTGACGATGGTGTTCTAATGTTCATGTGAAAACAGTAGTACAGTCTTGTCTGGAGTCTCGATGAAATTAATTAAGTGAACTTATTAATAGAAATGTCAATGTCGTTTAATCGAATCTCGAAATTGATTTCACTTGACATCAGTCATATTCTAAAAAGCCAGTTCCAGTCAGTCAGTTATTGTCTCGAATAAGTTTTGGGTGTTTGTTGTACATTGCATGTAAGTAAGTCTATCTATCTAGACGAGTTTCATGTTGCGTGGCGTGCCTGAATGTGAATACATAACCGTCGAAAAAGGTGTTTATTAAAGTCGTTTTGAATATTTTTATAGAATGTGCACTTTCAGCATTATACTGACGTGAACCTATAGAGCCACCTGACTGGTTTTTTGCGGAACAAATTTTACGGCCGTATTAGCTTTTATGACCGTATTAGCAGCTGTGAACGTGACTGATGCTTAAAATGATAAGATGGCAGTAATTAAGAGTAATAATAGTAAAGTTGAGTAGAGAATGAGTGTTGATTTTAGAGATTTGAGATGATGAAATGAAGCTGTTTTGAGTGGTCAGCAAAAATAGATGATAAGTGAATCCATGCATGCATGCATGCACCACATCCGTACTATTTTCTTGCTGCCTTCTTTTGAAACAGTCTCGAGGCGCCGAGCAGAAAAAACACTTTATGATTATGCTGATATGGAAGTCTTGCCTATGTCATTGATCACAGCAAGCAGGAGTGAACATTGAACAATAAATTGATGAACAATAAGAATGATCTTGATTAGTGCTTAATTAATTAACGGAACGAACACAAATGAGACAAACAGCTAAATTTATAGGTAATGTGTTGCATTGGTAAGAGGAAGAACTTGAAACGATATAATACATGAGCGATTACATGAAATCTTTAAGGGAAGGTGTCATCTCATCAACAGTTATATTATTCACTGAGCGTTCTTAAGATAGAAACGCGGAAACGAACGAACACGAACACGTCGTCAGTGAATCAATGTGTTTGCCTAAATGGACGTAGAGAAGTGCAACATTATTAATTAGGATAGTAATTAAGATATTACAGGTACGTGCGATTATTACGTAACAACGCTTAATTACGCCTGATCTAGCCCCGAAATGGTGCATCATGCAAACCGGAAAAGATGATGCACGATAGATAGTGTCAGTTGAATGCAGTCAGTCCGGATAAACCCTAGCGTAATGTGTCCGGAAAATGCGAACACGAATAGCGAAAGGAATAGCAAAACTGGTAGTATGAATTGATCAGTGTTGGTGACTATTGATCAGTGACGAGAGATGAGAGACGAGAGTTGTTGTAAATCAAATCAACAAACGAATGAAATTCGATAATCGTTNCGTTGATATTGTTGCCGCCGCTGCTGTCATTATATGATCACGAGATGACATGACCATTGCTCTCATATTAATACTGCTGATGTCTGAAATAATATTTGTACAATAATCTCAAATCGGACGGACGGAATGTGTTCACTTCATTTCATTGCTCCTTTACTGATCCATCCACGCACTCCACCTACTTTTATCAGTATCACTTTTATTGGTTATTGGTTAAACGAGCGAGCGAGCGACGAAACAATACGTAGATGGTGGGGTTGATAGACTGAACAATCGTTTAGTTTTAGTGATGATGATGATGATGATAATGGTTAGTTTTTAATTCTGATGATGGATGGATGGCAATGATGATGCAATCATATTGATGAATGTCATCATGTTCGTTTACATTTTGTGTTTGGCTGGAATACGACGTGGGTTTTTGTTGAGGTGACTGTGAAATGAAATTGATTACTGTCTGGTCTTATTTGCTGTTCGATTGGCGAATGAGTTGAGGCTGGGCTGGTTGGGTTTGTTTTATGTGAGGCGTGCTATAGATAAGAAGGAATGAGGCGACTGATGATAATGGGATTATAATTGAATTGCGTTCGTATGGTTTTAAGGTAATGCTGCTGTGTGCTTTAATTTAGCTGATGAACAAGTTAAAGGGTATTCTGTTATAGTTTGATTATAAATCTGAGTGATGATTATAAATTATATTATATCTGATTATAAATTTTTTTAAATAAAAATTTATAATCAGATATAAATCTGATTATGAAGTGTGTATTAATTTAGAGTGTAATTAGCTGAAGTGGTATGTGTGTGGGTCGTATTTGGAATGGTGGAATGTAATTGTGTGCGGTGGGATAGAGCATTGAAAGGATTGTATTTGTTGTTATGAGAACATTGAAGCGATCCATAAGAAAACAATCACTGCATAGAATATGACGTTATCATCATGAATCAGTTATGAAATTTGGCGTCATGATGCAACAAATTTTCCTGCAGGTCGGTGGTTATGTTATCTTTAAAATAATATCACAAACACTGATAGTAATAACGATAATAATAATAGTAACAATAATAAGGCGTAATAGTAATAATATGAAAGGTTTTGTGGGGCAAATATGATCTGAGGATGGAATTGAGGTGTGAGTCAGTAGTCAGTGGAATGCTGCTGCCTATTAACAACACACTCTCGAGACTCTCTAAAGAGAACCACTTCGAGATTCAAAATGCCAATGTCCATTATCTTGCTCGGTTGTTCGCTTCCAAACGTGATGTACTTTGCTGGCAGAGCAATTGGCCAGATTCGTTCACAAGGCTGAAATAAATGTAATATAGTGGGTCATTGATGAATGTGCACTTATTTTTTATGTGAGTCGTCATCAGTTGATTTGTTAACGCATTTTGACGGAATCGGTTTGGATGTGAGTCAATTTGATGAGTTAGTCATCCATCCATTCATCTACTCATCTGTCTATCAAAAAAGTTCAGCCACTATTAATATCTCAAAACTTCTTCTTCTAAGCAGATGTTTTTTTTCAAAAAATTTTGATAGAACTTTTTTGAGTTTGTTAGAAATTACTTACTTGAGAAATTATATTCATTGAATTGTTGTATATAACTTACAATTCCTTTATCGTTACATTTGTGGAATATCTTCAAGACGGGGTCAATATTGGAAATTTCCCATTCGTGGCCCTTCAGCAAAAACGAACCGTTTGAAGTGGTAAAACCGGATGCCAAAACATCATCCGAGTCTGGGACTGAAACAAGGCTCGAATACTACACTGATCTGATCGAAACTGATGATCGAACTGATCAGGGTTGATCGAAATAGGGCTCGAATATAAGTGCTAATATATTATGTTTTCAGTTTAAAGAAATTCTTGTTGTAATGAAAATGCTAAATTAATGATGAAAGTTAGTCAATAAGAAGACTGCTGACGTACAATCGTAATCGAGCAGTTGAATGGGAATATTCGGCTGAGGCAGTTGGGCACAGAGCAGTTGACCGCGTACGGCGATGCTTTGCTTACGATACAGGATTAGTGCGTTAGTGCGTGGATTTGAGATCAGTGATAACAATAGCAATATTAATTCTACTGATCGCTGCTGCCGCTTATCGCTGCTCATTTTTTCAGTGCATCATGCAGGGCAGTGAGGATAGATGGATGTTCGCTGATAAGAGCGGCGATAATTTGTGTGATACTTCGCAGTGATACTGCAGCGACTAATAGAACAAATTATAATCCAATAGTAATAGTAATTGTAATAGTAATGGTAATAATAGTTATAAGTGATAATCGAACAACTTAAATGGCACGGCAAGAGGACAAGCGAAGGATATGTTTGTTTGAGACTAAGGGGGGCGGTGCGGTGCGTTTCTAGTTTATTTATTATCATTTGATATGACTGCTGCTGCTGCTGCTGATAAGTTATTGGTTATTAGTGGTGGCGCTGGGCCATTGAAGTGGTGATCGATCGTCATTGGGTGGAGAGAGCTCGATTCGATAAGATTGCTTGTAGCTAGCTAGTGTTGTGGACTGTTTGAGAACACACAAGTGGTTCGGAGGGGTGTTTAGTGGCTGTGGGAATGCTTCTGAATTGGTTGGGATGACCTGTTATGAATTGTGATTATTGAGTTGTCTTCTTGGTTAGGTATTCATCCATCCATTCGTATTTTAAGTGGTAATGTTTTAGAGAGACGATTTGAATTGGCGCCGATATCTCACAGCGAAAACTCTGGGTGGGTTCGTGTCGAGATAGTATATTGAACTTATGATCGGTCTGTACAGAGACGAACAGAGAAATAATGAGACAGTATTATTATAATAGGCCTATAGAGAGACGAACAGAGAAATAACGAGATAGTATTATTATAATAGGCCTATAGAGAGACGAACAGAGAAATAACGAGATAGTATTATTATGATC